TGGCATAAGGACTTGGAGAAGGGGAAGAAGTGGAAGGATCGTACCATCTCGGGCCAAGTCAAGGCCAAGGATCACTTGATCCTGACATTAGAGGAGGGTGGTACAAAAGAGGTCCCATATGATCAGATTGAGTGGGGCCTAGGGGAGGAGTACAGTAGTGTAGGGCAGGGGAGGTCTTACGCTGCTGTCGCGGCCGGAGGGAGGCCGCAAGGTAGAGGAGGAGGCCAGGGCCAAAGGGGCCAGGCCATGGGAGGCCGAGGACCGGGCGCCCAGGGGGTTGGCGGACAGGGAAACCGCCAAGCGGGAGGTAGGGGTCAAGGTCCCCCGTTAAATCGCCAGGGTAATCGGTCCCTACAACGAAGAGGTGGAAGGGCACCTCAAGGAGGTTGGCACCCAGGCTTGCCACAGGGCAGGCCCTGGGAAGACTTGGGCTTGGACCAACGCGTATGGCAGGAACGCGTGGACCGGGGTCAGTGCGTGTTCTGTGGTGACCCGGCCCACGTTATCAAATTTTGTCCAAAGTATAGACAGGCCCGTTGGGCTGCCCAACAGTCAAAAGGCAGCCGCCAGTAGGGGTCGCAACTGCCCCTACTTCAAGGCCATGTGGAGAAGTGAGCGCGCGCGAACAGGACACTCCCAACCCACATGCGCCTATGGCAGAGGTTGCAGGCCCATGCCTAGATAGCTGTCCAAAGACTGCTTGCGTTAGCGTCTCTTTAGGCACGTCCCTCACAGGTGTGGTAGAAGAGTTAAAGGAGAGGATGCCAGCCTGGGCCAAAATGAAAAGGGAGAGTAAGGGACAACTGATTTTGGTAGATGTAGAGGTATTTAGAAGTAGGGTAGGGGCCCTTATAGACTCAGGGGCTACCCGTAGTTACATTAGCCGTAGGGCGCTGAAGAAGCTGAGGTTAGGATTAAAAGTCCAGAAATTGACAGACCCCATAGTCAGTGTCCTCGCAGACAACCGCACAATGCGTGTTGAGGATTACGTAGAGGGAGTCCAGGCGTACTTTCGCCTAGAGAAGAATGGAAAGGTGGAGAAGGTCCTCCATTCTTTGACTCTCCTCGTGCAGGATGACCTTCCTTTCGATATAGTGTTAGGAATGGATTGGGGAGAGGCAGCAGGGGCCACACTTCATTTGAGAGAGCATGAGTGTAGGCTCCCTAGCCCGTCAGGCGAGGTTAAGACTGCCCGCTTGTTCCATGTGTCTGGTGTAGATAACACCTTGACACATTGCTGTCTCAGTGCTCCCGCATTCGCGCGATTAGTAAAGAAGGAGCAGTTACAAGACCAGGTCTTTGTAGTATATGTCAGACCTGTCACTGAGGCCCAGAAAAAGGATAGTTCCACAGATCCAACAATTGCCAAGCTGCTGGAAGAATTCAAAAACTTGACTGAGTCGCCGACAGGAGTAGTGTCGCGACCCATCCAGCACAGGATAGAGATAGAGCCTGGCAGTAGAACTCCTAAGGGTGCAGTCTACATGATGTCCCCTAGACAGTTAGAGGAGCTCCGCAAGCAGTTAGACGAACTTCTTGAGAAAGGTTGGAGCAGGCCCAGTTCGTCTCCTTTTGGAGCACCCGTTTTGTTTGTCCCCAAGAAGGAAGGAGAGCTTCGTATGTGTATAGACTATAGGGGTTTGAACGCGATCACAATGAAGAATGTTGAGCCGCTGCCCAGGATAGACGATCTTTTATATCGAGTGCAGGGTTGTAAGTATTTCTCTAAGATAGACTTAAAGTCCGGATACCATCAGATAGAAGTCCATCCTGGTGATCAGTACAAGACTAGATATGGGCACTATGAGTTTATAGTGATGCCCTTTGGACTGACCAACGCGCCAGCTACTTTTCAGCGTTGTATGAATGACTTGTTTAGACCATGTTTAGATAAATTTGTAGTAGTCTACTTAGATGATATCCTAGTTTTTAGTAAGACCCTCCAGGAGCACCAGGGTCATCTGAGGCAGGTCTTGGAGAAGCTTAGAGAGGCTAACTTCAAGATCAACGCGAAGAAGTGCGAGTGGGCCAAGACGCAAGTCTTATACTTGGGCTACGTGTTGGACGGAGATGGCATTAAGCCAAAGGACAGCAAGATCGCGGCGATCAGAGATTGGTTGACGCCCCGCACATTGACAGAGTTGCGGTCATTCCTAGGCTTAGCTAACTACTATAGGAAGTTCGTGAGGAACTTCTCCACTATCGCCGCTCCCTTGCGCAGGTTGTTGAAGAAAGAGACAATCTGGCAATGGGATAAAGACTGTACGTCTGCGCTCAAAAAGTTAAAGCGCGCGTTAATAGAGTATCCTGTCCTCAAGGTTGCAGACCCGTCCTTGCCATTTGTCGTCACCACGGACACGAGTCAGTATGGGATAGGCGCCGTGTTGCAACAAGATGACGAAAATGGCTATAGACCCGTAGAGTTCATGTCCGCGAGGATGCCTTGTGAGAAAGTCGCTACCTCCACGTACGAAAGAGAACTCTTCGCCCTCAGGCAGGCTTTAGACCATTGGAAGCACTACCTGCTTGGGAGGCACTTCAAAGTCTTCTCGGACCATGAAACACATAGATGGTTGAAGACCCAGGCCAAGATGACACCTAAGTTGACCAGGTGGGCCACAGAGATAGACCAATTTGACTTTGAGCTCAAGCCAGTGAAGGGCAAGTACAATGTAGTGGCGGATGCTCTAAGTAGGAGATCAGACTACTTTGGAGCCGTAGTACATTATCTGGATATAGCGAGAGACCTGCAGGAGAAAGTGAAACAAGTGTATACGCATGACCCTATCTATAGCGACCTCCTAAAGAGAGTTAGAGAGRCCCCAGAGACCGAACCAGATTACCGCACTACAGACGGGTTGCTGTTTGATAAGACTAATGTGTTTGACTGCCTGTGCGTTCCCAACAGCGAAGAGATTCGTAGTCTAATTCTAGGGGAATGTCACGATACCGAGGGACACTTCGGTTGGCAAAAGACGTTAGCCAATCTGATGCGTGCGTACACATGGCCAGGGATGAAGAACGACTGCATAGAGTATGTCCGCAGTTGTAAAGTATGCCAGCGAAACAAATCTACTACACGCGCGCCCCTAGGTCTTCTCATACCCTTGCCTATTCCGGATCAGCCGGGAGACTCAGTGTCCATTGACTTCATGGACACCCAAGTCAAGAGTAGACATGGTAAGAGCCAAGTCATGGTCATAGTTGACCGTTTCAGTAAGTATGCAGTTTTTGTTCCCTTGCCTGCAGAGGCCCGTACAGATTTAGTAATACAAAAGTTCTTTGACTTTTGGATTAGTGAGAATGGAATCCCATTGTCAATAGTTAGTGATAGAGACAGTCATTTCACCAGCCAGAACTGGCAAGAACTCATGAGAGTCTACGGATCTAAGTTGTTAATGTCGTCCGGCCGTCACCCAGAGACTAACGATCAGACAGAACAGATGAACAAGATCCTACAGCAAGTTCTGCGCATGTACATTAGACCAGATCAGATTAACTGGGATGAGATGTTGCCTAAGGTAGCTACTGCATACAACAACAACGTGCATCTA